TGGTGTTCTTTGTTTGGTATTCGTTGTTGGGTGTTCCTTGTTTGGTGTTCGTTGTTTGGTGTTCGTTGTTGGGTGTTCCTTGTTTGGTGTTCCTTGTTTGGTGTTCTTTGTTTGGTGTTCGTTGTTTGGTGTTCGTTGTTTGGTGTTCGTTGTTTGTTTGGTGGTCGTTGTTTGGTGTTCTTTGTTTGGTATTCGTTGTTGGGTGTTCCTTGTTTGGTGTTCGTTGTTTGGTGTTCGTTGTTGGGTGTTCGTTGTTTGGTGTTCGTTGTTTGTTTGGTGGTCGTTGTTTGGTGTTCCTTGTTTGGTGTTCCTTGTTTGGTGTTCTTTGTTTGGTATTCGTTGTTGGGTGTTCGTTGTTTGGTGTTCGTTGTTTGTTTGGTGGTCGTTGTTTGGTGTTCATTGTTTGGTGTTCTTTGTTTGGTGTTCTTTGTTTGGTGTTCGTTGTTGGGTGTTCCTTGTTTGGTGTTCATTGTTTGGTGTTCTTTGTTTGGTGTTCGTTGTTTGGTGTTCGTTGTTGGACGTTTGTTGCTTGGTGTTCGTTGTTTGTTGTTCGTTGCTCGTTGTTTGATGTCCGTTGTTTGGTGTTCGTTGTTTGGTGTTCGTTGTTTGGTGTTCATTGTTTGGTGTTCTTTGTTTGGTGTTTTTTGTTTGGTGTTCACTGTTTGGTGTTCGTTGTTTGGTGTTCACTGTTTGGTGTTCGTTGTTTGGTGTTCGTTGTTTGGTGTTCGTTGTTTGGTGTTCACTGTTTGGTGTTCACTGTTTGGTGTTCGTTGTTTGGTGTTCGTTGTTTGGTGGTCGTTGTTTGATGTCCGTTGTTTGATGTTCGTTGATTGGTGTTCGTTGTTTGATGTTCGTTGTTTGGTGTTCGTTGTTTGGTGTTCACTGTTTGGTGTTCGTTGTTTGGTGTTCGTTGTTTGGTGGTCGTTGTTTGGTGTTCGTTGTTTGGTGTTCGTTGTTTGGTGTTCGTTGCTTGGTGGTCGTTGTTTGGTGGTCGTTGTTTGTTTGGTGGTCGTTGTTTGTTGTTCTTTGTTTGGTGTTCGTTGTTTGGTGGTAGTTGTTTGTTGTTCGTTGCTGGTTGTTTGATGTCCGTTTTTTGGTATTCGTTGTTTGGTGGTCGTTGTTTGTTTGGTGGTCGTTGTTTGTTGTTCGTTGTTTGGTGTTCGTTGTTTGGTGTTCGTTGTTTGGTGTTCGTTGTTTGGTGTTCGTTGCTGGTTGTTTGATGTCCGTTTTTTGGTATTCGTTGTTTGGTGGTCGTTGTTTGTTTGGTGGTCGTTTGTTTGTTGTTCTTTGTTTGGTGTTCGTTGTTTGGTGGTAGTTGTTTGTTGTTCGTTGCTGGTTGTTTGATGTCCGTTTTTTGGTATTCGTTGTTTGGTGGTCGTTGTTTGTTTGGTGGTCGTTGTTTGTTGTTCGTTGTTTGGTGTTCGTTGTTTGGTGCTCGTTGTTTGGTGTTCGTTGTTTGGTGTTCGTTGTTTGGTGTTCGTTGTTTGGTGGTCGTTGTTTGATGTTCGTTGTTTGGTGTTCGTTGTTTGGTGTTCGTTGTTTGGTGTTCGTTGTTTGGTGTTCGTTGCTTGGTGGTCGTTGTTTGGTGGTCGTTGTTTGTTTGGTGGTCGTTGTTTGTTGTTCGTTGCTCGTTGTTTGATGTCCGTTGTTTGGTGTTCGTTGTTTGGTGGTCGTTGTTTGTTTGTTGATCGTTGTTTGTTGTTCGTTGCTCGTTGTTTGATGTCCGTTGTATGGTGTTCGTTGTTTGGTGTTCGTTGTTTGGTGTTCGTTGTTTGGTGTTCGTTGTTTGGTGTTCGTTGTTTGATGGTCGTTGTTTGTTTGGTGTTCGTTGTTTGCTGTTCGTTGTTTGATGGTCGTTGTTTGTTTGGTGTTCGTTGTTTGGTGTCCGTTGTTTGATGTCCGTTGTTTGGTGTTCGTTGTTTAGTGTTCGTTGTTTGGTGTTCGTTGTTTGATATTCGTTGTTTGTTTGGTGGTCGTTGTTTCATGCCCCACGGAAGCACTACAATCAGGCTGATCAGTATTACTTGTTTAATTAGCTCTTAAGTTTTAGTGATAGGATTCTATTAACAGTTATGTCCTGGTGATAGGATTCTATTGGTGACACCTTGTCTATATGAATGGAGAACGCTAAACACTCATGGTCAGTGTGCCTAGCACATCCCTGGTCATCACTGAGTTAGTTAACTCTCTCAGCATCACTGTCTGCTCTGAGATGGACGGGGGCGTCGAGGATCCCTACTTAGAGGGTGTTATTGCTGTGTTAGATGGTGTTAGAACAGTCGCTAGAGCAGTGTTCTGTGGTGTTATTGCTGTGTTAGATGGTGTTAGAACAGTCGCTAGAGCAGTGTTGTGTGGTGTTATTGCTGTGTTAGATGGTGTTAGAACAGTCGCTAGAACAGTGTTCTGTGGTGTTATTGCTGTTAGATGGTGTTAGAACAGTCGTTAGAGCGTGTTCTGTGGTGTTATTGCTGCTAGATGGTGTTAGAACAGTCGCTAGAGCAGTGTTCTGTGGTGTATTGCTGTTAGATGGTGTTACAACAGTCGCTAGAGCAGTGTTCTGTGGTGTTATTGCTGTTAAATGGTTTTAGAACAGTCGCTAGAGCAGTGTTCTGTGGTGTTATTGCTGTGTTAGATGGTGTTAGAACAGTCGCTAGAGCAGTGTTCTGTGGTGTTATTGCTGTTAGATAGTGTTAGAACAGTCGCTAGAGCAGTGTTCTGTGGTGTTATTGCTGTTAGATGGTGTTACAACAGTCGCTAGAGCAGTGTTCTGTGGTGTTATTGCTGTTAGATGGTGTTAGAACAGTCGCTAGAGCAGTGTTCTGTGGTGTTATTGCTGTGTTAGATGGTGTTAGAACAGTCGCTAGAGCAGTGTTCTGTGGTGTTATTGCTGTGTTAGATGGTGTTAGAACAGTCGCTAGAGCAGTGTTCTGTGGTGTTATTACTGTGTTAGATGGTGTTAGAACAGTCGCTAGAGCAGTGTTCTGTGGTGTTATTACTGTGTTAGATGGTGTTAGAACAGTCGCTAGAGCAGTGTTCTGTGGTGTTATTGCTGTGTTAGATGGTGTTAGAACAGTCGCTAGAGCAGTGTTCTGTGGTGTTATTACTGTGTTAGATGGTGTTAGAACAGTCGCTAGAGCAGTGTTCTGTGGTGTTATTACTGTGTTAGATGGTGTTAGAACAGTCGCTAGAGCAGTGTTCTGTGGTGTTATTGCTGTGTTAGATGGTGTTAGAACAGTCGCTAGAGCAGTGTTCTGTGGTGTTATTGCTGTGTTAGATGGAGTTAGAACAGTCGCTAGAGCAGTGTTGTGTGGTGTTATTGCTGTTAGATGGTGTTAGAACAGTCGCTAGAGCAGTGTTCTGTGGTGTTATTGCTGTTTTAGATGGTGTTAGAACAGTCGCTAGAGCAGTGTTGTGTGGTGTTATTGCTGTTAGATGGTGTTAGAACAGTCGCTAGAGCAGTGTTCTAATATTGTGTTATCCGCTCTGTTAGACAGAATAGTCACTTAAGAAGTGTTCAGATATGGTGTTTCTGTTGTGTTACATGGAATAGTCGCTAAAGAACCATTTTAATATATTGTTATGACTGTGTTCGACGTCTTGGTGTGTTTTACAGCGGTAGTGTGAGAAGCTACAAAATCTTTTGAAACGAAGTTACTAAGCGTTGTAAATTTTCCAGGGCTCTCTATGCTATCTCTGAGAAAGTTATATATCGACCAAAGTCAACTGTGGTATATTTAACCTACAAATTTAAAAAGAAAACTGTGTGAGACTTCAGTTCGTCGTCGCAAGCCAGATAATGGTCCGAGATTGGGCGAAATGGCAGCCATTTTTTCCATCTAGTTTGTGTTTCAGCTGTGAAATATTCCAGGTACAGTATTGTGGCCTTTATTTGTATTGAATGGCTCACGGAGTCATAATTATGTACTGGCTTGTGAGATCGCAGGTACATGTCCTTGTTGTGTGGTCATGTGTGTGTGTGTATGTGTATACTGTTGTTGGTGGTCCAGTTGGTTTCTGTGTTGTGTTTGGTTGTGTGTGTGTGTGTGTGTGTGTGTGTGTGTGTGTGTGTGTGTGTGTGTGTGTGTGGTGTGTGTGTGTGTGTGTGTGTGTGTGTGTGTGTGTGCGTGTGTGTGTGTGTGACACCAAATTAATGTCTGTATAAATAACTCATTATAATTTAGGTTAGGTAAGGTTTGTCAAGAAACTGGACAAGTGTTTCCTGACGCTGGTCTTAGTAATATGATGACTTACAGCTGGAGCTTTTGGTCATCTGACCGAGGCCTTCCACTGGCTTATCCCTCTGATTGTGACAGGATATAAACATGTACATAGTTCATTACCACTGTAACTTGTTCGGCTACCGAAACTTCTCGTTCCAGTTCCTGGACCATTATGTACCTCTGTAATCTATTAACTACCTCCCACAGGATAGGTCTGGGGTGCATAATTAAAATGTTAAGTTAACCATGGGTTACAGCCCCACGAGTTCCCTGATTCGCAGTGCTTGGTTAATGGGGTTTAAAGCTTATCTACTACACGAGGGTCATTAATGCTGCATGTCACTTGTTGAGAACCAGTCAAGATTGCTTTAGTCCTTAAAGTAGGGAGTAAAATAGTCACAGCATGTGTTTACACTGAGAGACACACCTCACGTTGTATGGATCCTGTGAGTCGTTTACATTTTCCTCCAAAATTTTATAAATTACGACTACAAAGAGACACAACAATCAGCCTATGAAGAGAAAAATGCTCTCTACAGACTGGAAAAATTTACTGGGACAACGTTTCGCTTGGAGGACAAGATTGGTCGCGAAACTTAGGGTTCGGTCTTGGTCTCCAAGTGAAACATTGTCCTGATGAAAGTTCTCACCCCTGTATCAGTTTTGAGGGTTTTACAAGCTCAATGTCAGCTTTGGATAACTTGAGAGAGGTGAGGGAACATGGCGAGAACATGTACAAGACGGATGGAACTTGCTAAAACAATTCCATGGGGTACTTACCGTGTGAGGCGGGTATGAGGAGTGTGAGGGTGAGGAGGACACACTTGCTGAGCGCCATCCCCCTCATGCTTCCTCACGCAGCTGCTGTCACAGAGAAACTGGTCCAGCGGTGGGAAGTCCTCGAGAGCAGTGACCGTAGCGGACCAAGGTCGACACGGGCACCTTATCTTATGACCTTTTTTTCCTTCGTGACTTCTCTTGTTTTCTGTTCACTCGTCCCGGTAATGGATTGATGTCGGACGAGAAGGAATTTGGGGATTTGGGAGGAAGAGACAAAGTTGGATCACTGAGAGTGGCGAGTAAGGAGTGACAAAGGGTTGGCTAATCCATGGAGCCTAGGGCACCTCTGACTTGAAATATGGAAGTTGCAACAGCTGCAATTACTGCAACACAGGTGAAACTACTCCAGCAGTTTTAAATACTGCAGCACAACAAACAGTTGTAACTACTTCAAAATTAGCAACAACTGCAGCAAGGAGAAACCTCAGCAGTGTGTTAACATCAGCTACACCCAGTAGCTAAGCTTGTATAGTTGTGGACAAGTAGTTACAAGGACGTTGGTTCAGTCCGTACTGCTGCTTATCCAGAGTTAATACTTCCTTTCGGTGTATACGAAGACTCACTGATATTTGGCTTTTGATAAGTATTTTATATATATGTACTGTTATATTTAACGCTTTGGTCTGGTGAGGGACTGAGGGTGTTTCGGAAATGTTTAAGTCTATGTATTATTGTGTGACACAACACCGCTGAGCGTAAACTATGGCTGGGAAGCGAACATGGCTATGTATTCGCTTGTGGTAGATTTCTTAACGTCACTCATAGACAAACGCAAAGCTAGCACATTCTTTTTAATAGTTCTTCCTAGCCATATATCATTAATGAAACTTGTTTATGAGGCTGGCAGAAGGGGAAAGATGGTGTAGCAGCAGCAGCAGCAGCAGCAGCTGCAGCAGCACGTGGGAGACTGGAGAGAGTGAGGTCACCTCTCACCCACAAGACTGGTGGGGATCTGTGTACGTCCCCACAACACCGAGCATTATATACTCGCTCCCTACACCCCCACCCCCAACTCCCAAACAAACTGCCACACTCCACACTTCCCTTATCATTAACACCCTATCATTAACCCTCCATAATCTCCCCATTCTCACGCACATTGATAAAAACTAGCGTCCAGTCCACCGCTAACCTCCTGCCACTAACCAACCCGATACAACTCTTCAAGTGGATTTCCAAAACACATATGATATTACTTCTTTCCCTCAGGCCTCTCCCCTTTTCTCTCAGTGACGTCACGAAGGTGTGAACCAATGAGAGTGGCGGTGAGGAGGTGAGGGGGAGCGTGGGTGAGGTCACAGTCGGAACTTTCATTCATGAAAATGGGTTCCAAGTGACGGTGTGTCTGTCTGAGTGTTGAAGTTGTTCCAGCCGCACCTCACTGTGCTTATAGTGTTATCAGGCTCTTGTATAACCACTACTACCACTACTGCTACTACTACCACTACTACTACTACTACTACTACTACCACTACTGCTACTACTACCACTACTACTACTACTACTACTACTACTACTACTACCTACTACTACTACTACTACTAACTACTACACTACTACTACTACTACTACTACTACTACTACTACTACTACTACTACTACTGCTACTACTACCACTACTACTACTACTACTACTACCACTACTGCTACTAACTACACTACTACTACTACTAACTACTACTACTACTACTCACTATACTACTACTACTCTACACTACTACTACATTCTACTCACTACCTACTACTACTACTACCTAACACACTACTACTACTAACTACTACCACTACTATACTATACACTACTACTACTACTCATACACTACACTACTCTACTACTACACTACTTTACTACTACTACCACATACTACTACTACACTACACACTACTGCTACTAAAACTACCACTACTACTACTACTATACTACTAACTACCACTACTGCTACTACTACCACTACTACCTACTACTACTACACTACGCACTACTACTAACTTACACTACCACTACTCTACTACTACCAACTACTCTTACTACTACACTACCACTACTGCTACTACTACCACTACTCATACTTACTACACTTACTACTACTACACTCTACTCACTACACACTACTACTAACTACACTACTCTACTACTAATACTTACTACACCTACTACTAACTGACTACTACTACCACCACCACTACATACTACTACTACTACTACTACCACTACTGCTACCACTACTAGCTACTACTACTACTACACTACATACTGCTACCACTTACTGCTACCACTACTGCTACCACTACTACTTACCTACTACTACCACTACTGCTACCACTACGCTACACTACTACTACTACTACTACTACTACTACTACCACTACTGCTACTACTACTACTACTACCACTACTCTACTACTACTACACCACTACTACTACTACTACTACTGCTACCACTACTGCTACCACTACTGCTACCACTACTACTACCACTACTACTGCTACCACTACTACTACCACTACTGCTACCACTACTACTACTACCTCCACTACTATTACCACCACCACTTATGGCACCACCACTACTACTACCACTCACAATCCTCATCACGACCCTCACCACGACCTTCACCACGACCCTCACCACAACCTCACCACGACCCTCACCACGACCCTCACCACGACCCTCACCACGACCCTCACCACGACCCTCACCACGACCCTCACCACGACCTCACCACGACCCTCACCACGACCTCACCACGACCCTCACCACGACCTCACACGACTCTCACCACGACCCTCACCACGACCTTCACCACGACCCTCACCACGACCCTCACCACGACTCTCACACGACCCTCACCACGACCCTCACCACGACCCTCACCACGACCCTCACCACGACTCTCACCACGACCTTCACCACGACCCTCACCACGACCCTCACCACGACCCTCACCACGACCCTCACCACGACCCTCACCACGACCCTCACCACGACCCTCACCACGACCCTCACCACGACCCTCACCACGACCCTCACCACGACCCTCACCACGTGCTTCTTATCAGACCAGCACAGCAGTGATGTCGATTTATTCATAACATCCAGTGTGGTACCTTCACCACTCCTGGTATTGGTACCTTCACGAAAAAGTAATGTGAAGGACCTGGGAGTGATAATGTCAGAGGATCTCGCCTTCAAAGACCACAACAATATATCTACTGCATCTGCTAGGAAAATGATAGGATGGATAATGAGAACCTTCAAAACTAGGGACGCTAAGCCCATGATAATTCTCTTCAAATCGCTTGTGCTCTCTAGGCTGGAATACTGATGTACACTAACTGCCCCCTTCAAGGCTGTGAAATTGCTGACCTGGAGAGTGTACAAAAAACTTTCACGGCACACTTAAGTGCGATAAGGCACCTAAATTACTGGGAACGGTTGAAGTCCCTTGATTTGTATTCCCTGGAGCGCAGGCGAGAGAGATACATGATAATATTCATTTGGAAAATCCTTGAGGGACTAGTACCAAACTTGCACACGAAAATCACTCCCTGTGAAAGTAAAAGACTCGGCAGGAGATGCAACATTCCCCCAGTGAAAACTAGGGGAGCCACGAGCACACTGAGAGACAAACACAGTAAGTGTGAGGGGCCCAAAACTGTTTAACTGCCTCCCAGCATACATAAGGGGGATTGCCAATAGACCCCTGGCTATCTTCAAGAAGGCACTGGACAGGCACCTAAAGTCAGTACCTGACCAACCGGGCTGTGGTTCGTACATCAGTTTGCGTGCGGCCAGCAGTAACAGCCTGGTTGATCAGACCCTGATCAACCAGGTCTCAGACCGAGCTTCGGGGCTTTGGCCCCCGAAACCCTCTCCAGGTATACTCCAGGTATACTTCTGGTACTGGTACCATCACCGCTCCTGGTACTGGTACCATCACCACTCCTGGTACTGGTACCATCACCACTCCTGGTACTGGTACCATCACCACTCCAGGTACTGGTACCATCACCGCTCCTGGTACTGGTATCATCACCACTCCTGGTACTGGTACCATCACCACTTCTGGTACTGGTACCATCACCACTCCTCGTACTGATACCATCACCACTCCTGGTACTGGTATCATCACCACTCCTGGTACTGGTACCATCACCACTCCTGGTACTGGTATCATCACCACTCCTGGTACTGGTACCATCACCACTCCTGGTACTGGTACCATCACCACTCCTGGTACTGGTATCATCACCACTCCTGGTACTGGTACCATCACCACTCCTGGTACTGGTATCATCACCACTCCTGGTACTGGTACCATCACCACTCCTGGTACTGGTACCATCACCACTCCTGGTACTGGTACCATCACCACTCCTGGTACTGGTACCATCACCACTTCTGGTACTGGTACCATCACCACTCCTGGTACTGGTACCATCACCACTCCTGGTACTGGTATCATCACCACTCCTGGTACTGGTATCATCACCACTCCTGGTACTGGAATCACCACTCCTGTTACTGGTACCATCACCACTCCTGGTACTGGTATCATCACCACTCCTGGTACTGGTATCATCACCACTCCTGGTACTGGTACCATCACCACTCCTGGTACTGGTATCATCACCACTCCTGGTACTGGTATCGAAGACGCACACTCAAGGTGGTGACCTGTGTGTGGCTGAACTGGGAAGACGCACACCCGAGGTGGTGACCTGTGTGTGGCTGAACTGGGAAGACGCACACCCGAGGTGGTGACCTGTGTGTGGCTGAACTGGGAAGACGCACACTCAAGGTGGTGACCTGTGTGTGGCTGAACTGGGAAGACGCACACCCGAGGTGGTGACCTGTGTGTGGCTGAACTGGGAAGACGCACACCCGAGGTGGTGACCTGTGTGTGGCTGAACTGGGAAGACGCACACCCGAGGTGGTGACCTGTGTGTGGCTGAACTGGGAAGACGCACACCCGAGGTGGTGACCTGTGTGTGGCTGAACTGGGAAGACGCACACTCAAGGTGGTGACCTGTGTGTGGCTGAACTGGGAAGACGCACACTCAAGGTGGTGACCTGTGTGTGGCTGAACTGGGAAGACGCACACCCGAGGTGGTGACCTGTGTGTGGCTGAACTGGGAAGACGCACACCCGAGGTGGTGACCTGTGTGTGGCTGAACTGGGAAGACGCACACCTGAGGTGGTGACCTGTGTGTGGCTGAACTGGGAAGACGCACCACTCAAGGTGGTGACCTGTGTGTGGCTGAACTGGGAAGACGCACACCCGAGGTGGTGACCTGTGTGTGGCTGAACTGGGAAGACGCACACCCGAGGTGGTGACCTGTGTGTGGCTGAACTGGGAAGACGCACACCCGAGGAGGTGACCCGTGTGTGGCTGAACTGGGAAGACGCACACTCAAGGTGGTGACCTGTGTGTGGCTGAACTGGGAAGACCACACCCGAGGTGGTGACCTGTGTGTGGCTGAACTGGGAAGACGCACACCCGAGGTGGTGACCTGTGTGTGGCTGAACTGGGAAGACGCACACCCGAGGTGGTGACCTGTGTGTGGCTGAACTGGGAAGACGCACACCCGAGGTGGTGACCTGTGTGTGGCTGAACTGGAAAGACGCACACTCAAGGTGGTGACCTGTGTGTGGCTGAACTGGGAAAACGCACACCCGAGGTGGTGACCTGTGTGTGGCTGAACTGGGAAGATGCACACCCGAGGTGGTGACCTGTGTGTGGCTGAACTGGGAAGACGCACACCCGAGGTGGTGACCTGTGTGTGGCTGAACTAGGAAGACGCACACTCGAGGTGGTGACCTGTGTGTGGCTGAACTGGGAAGACGCACACCCGAGGTGGTGACCTGTGTGTGGCTGAACTGGAAAAACGCACACCCGAGGTGGTGACCTGTGTGTGGCTGAACTGGGAAGACGCAC